CTTTCATCACCACTCTCAATTTCATCGTCGCTCTCAATTTCGTCATCACTCTCAATTTCATCATCACCACCATCATCCAAACTATTAGCTTCGTCACTGATCCCTCCTCCCTCTGGATTTTCGTCTTCTGGATTCTCTACTTCCCACCTTTTTTTTCTCCGATCAAAATTAACTGGCAACCAATTATTACCAAAAAACTGACCACTAAAAATGATACCTCTTGCAAGTTCAAAAGGTAGTGCAAATTTAGGGGGTGCGCCTACTGCTGCTGCGGCTGCTGGTGGTAGTGATGATGCTAAAGCCTGCTCATAAGGTGGACGGACCACAGGAACACCACCTGCGGGTGGTGGTAAATCGAGGTTTGGAAGAGGAGGCGGCGCAGGAGGGGGAGGGGCCGATGGGGGAGGGGCTCGGGGGAGGGGCTCGGGGGAGGGGCTCCTGGGAAGGGCACAGGTGGTGGTCCAGGGAAAGGGCCTGGAGGTGGTCCTCCTGGTCCAAACGCTCCTCCGGCTGGCCATTGTCTTTCTCCCAATTTGTCTCGACACCATTCAGCAGCATATCCTGGTAGAGTCTGTGCAACAGTATCAGGTCCCGATATATATGGCCTAAATTTCACAAAATCATCCCACTGCTGCCATCTCCACCATGCTGAAGTTCGACGATATAATCCCACGGTCTTTGGAGGACCTGCCCACCATAGGTGTCTAGCCATCCATTGATCATAATTTGGATGATTTTGGAAAGTACCGAAAGTGTATGGTGATCGTGGTATCGCCGTCAATTGATCATGTGTTAATTGATAGCCTCGATCACCTATAAACATATACCCATGCCACACCATTAGCAGCCCATCGGGATCTGTAAAAGGTCGGCCACAATATGGGCGATTAGTCCTTATTGTTATTTTCCCCCTGATTCCATATCCTTTCTGTTTACCACATTGGACGAATGGTTCTTGAAACAATCTTATATCACTATATCCTATGAAGCCTTTTTGATATGCTAGGAAAAGAAGCCCCATCACATAATCAGATAGTATATCTTTCATATACATACCATCCTTAGCCTTGTTGATTAATTCAATGATATGCGTAACGAAATAAGGAGGGTCGAATACCCTCCGTTTCGCCATTTCGCGCACGGTAGGAAGACGCGCTTGCATGATTTCTATCGGAGTTGACAATAGTGATTTATATTATGGTAATATTAATATTGATGAATAAGAGATAATCATTATGGATGTTTCAGCATCATTGGCTTTCGTGTGGTTATCAAGTCGTCCGTCGCATAACTTCATTCTCATTGATCATTTTAAAAAAATTCTTACAATCTCTTTGTCCATAATACATTCTTTTGCGAGCTGTTATCTTTATCAGCATCATTCGTTTTCAGAAGAATTGAGAAACAATTCTTTATGCCGTTGATCCTCTCCGCTCTTTGTATTATTGTGAGTATATTCTTTTTCCACGCAGGCAGCGAATGCTCCACCGATGATTGGAATACTCATATAGAGAGTTTCATGGATCAGTTAGCTTTTTAGACTGATAGACCAGTATATAAGAACGTGGCACTGGAATATGAGAATTCTTCATCCGCTTTAAATGCATTGTGCACCACACATGCAGATGAGATAACTAACTGTGTAACTCGTCTCGAAAGTAACACGGAAAAGACTCATGTCTATTTCTCTTTACTCGAATCGCTAGATCTTAGCAAGGATGGTATTTTTGAACGCATGGACCTCGTATTCTATCTGCTTAAGAATGATCCAGTCTGGTGAGAGGAGATATTCACCCAGGAAGCGCTGAATTTCAAGTTGCAATATATTGTATTTGAGAAGGAATAGAGCAAAATGTAAGATTACCGAGGATTCGACGGCGTTGTCAGGGAAGGATCAAATAGGTACATAGAGTCTGCCTGGAAAGGATACATAGGGATATCTAGTTGGATCGAAAGCCCTGCTCGAATGAGTAACTTTCTTTTTCATCTGGCCAAGGTTGCAAAGAAGTATCCAAAAATTTTGGACGCCGTAGATCGATTAAACAATGCTTTGATCACAGGCCTTTTGATCATCAAACAGAATCAAGAACCAATCGGAAACTTCAGGGTCCTGATTGTGAAAGAGCATTGAGGATTGAAATAGTTGTGATACATTCTATAGAAAGCTATAATCCTTTAGGCCTTTCTATCAACTCAAACCACGAATCTTTTCCAATCCATCGAGACGTTAGAAGTAGGAATTCCTTACATTGCACCAATCGATCCATCGTTTTCCATCCCAACACTCCGGCTTCCACCTTGATGAGTTGGATAGTGACATACAACTCAAAGTTACATCACTAATACCACGATCTGAGAATACCTTTTCAGACATTTCCGATTCTTCCCAAAACGATGATAATCATCAATATACACGTCAGAGACATTCCATATCTCATGTATATATTCAATACCATTCTATAATAGATTGGTTCATTTATATCGAGAGTATAAGTGGGTGGTGATTATATGTGATATTTTACAAGAAAGACAAAAGTATACTTCCCAACAGCGGTCGAGGTGGCGGCACAGTGCAAAATATTAGCTTCAAAAGAATCGCGTGTACACGTCCCAAGATGGCTCTGTCCTTTAAATCTATCAACAATGCCAACATTCCGTTTCGATTCTGATTCCCTGCCTGTGTTAGAGTGGATTCATTGGATGCATTATCTGATACACTTATTGGATTCCGTCAATGTGATGTATCTGAAGTTATATGTGAAGAGAAACCTTTATTCAACACTGATAAATCCGTGGCTTGGAATATATTACAAATTGTTGTCTGCGAGCGTATTCATCTGTCCTCTAGCCTTCAAGATTATCAGGTTGACTGAACGAGAAATGTTCAAATCTGTTTAATTTTGGAATAATAAAGATTTTGGGGAATCATTGGATTCTGATGATTCCAGTATAACATCCAATTAATATAGTAAGATTACCAGTGATTCTTTACACAGGGGTAATAGTCATATATAAATTCTTGCTGAAATAGATGAGATGGTTCCTTTACAAAAAATGAGGGGAAGGGAAGATAAGTTTTTATGTTTTAGATATTGAGGTCGTTATATACCTAGGTAGTTATGCTAGGGTGGTCAAGTAGTATCAAGCATGGAATAGGTTAACTAACCTAAATTAGTTAGGAAATTTTACCGAGATGGTTAGTAAGGAGATTGAGGAGAAAGTAGGGTTATTGTGTGAACGAAGTGAATGACTTCAATTCAATTACTACTGTAATAAAGAACTAAGCGAACGCGAAAGAGACTAGCTCTTTTAGTAAGTCTATATAAGACTTACTACTTTCAATATGCAGCTAGCTCTTTAGACAGAATACAATTAGACATACAGGACCTACATAATCCGTGGGTGCTACGTCTTCCGTATCCTTCTCGTACCAACAGTTATATTGGGTTTCTTGAGACCAGAAAGAGCATCAGATTGAATTGATTGATTCTCTAGCTAAGCAGTTAAGCTGCGAGTATATATTCAAAAAATGAAGGAATAAGGTTAGGTATTCAGCCTTCGGAATTAAAGTGCTTTGAAATCAAAATATTGAAAGCAAACAAACAGTATACCAAAAAGGAAAGAATGAATTAAAAGTTGAGTTTTGTTTGCTCCTTATATGCATCATGCAATATATATGCATATGCTGCCAAGATCCCAGGAGGTCAACAATAACATACCACTCTGCCCACCTTTCCAGCAGCCATAGCCAAAATAGGATATCTTAAATCCTTTGGACCAACATAAGCAAAAGGTTCAAAAGACTCCTGCGATGCTGGAAGATGTTGCACCAACCAGTGTGCAGCATGATTTACGGCATTCGCAAACTGACTATACGTGATATCCTTATATCCTTTAGAAATATCTTCCTCGTCTACTGGTACTGAGACCCAAGGACTTTGGGGATCCGTTTGTGGTCTCCCGTCGAGTATGGATAGAGCCATGCGTTCTCCATGTTTAACACCTGGTATGGGAAGAGAATGTGTGTCGGTCATGATGCGGGCTTGTTGATTGAGTTGCGTGCAATTTTGTGTTGATGGGGAGGACAAGTCTGAGATCTACTAGGAGAGTACTTAAAATTAAATAAGCTAGCTTACTTACACGTGCTTGTTAGAATGTCTCGATGAAGCAATTGCTGGTAGTGGAGGTCCGAGGCCCACTATACCGACGTCGCTAACAAATCAATTCCTCAATATATCAGAATTAATGATGAAATAATACTATTTGGTCCGAATCACAAAACCAAGTTTAAAACACCCAAGATTGATTAGATTAGAGCTCAATATTCATTCGCGCGGCTGGGTAGGTGAGCGGCGCCAACCTCGACCCGCCACCATATATCCTGTGCCTAAACTGCATTGCATGATACATGCATCTATTATTTTAATCTCATACCTTTCCTGCTCAATTCCTACAGTTAGCTTTTCCCAGTACACCCAATCTTGATGAAATCTTAATTAGTTCGGCTTCGAGAATCGAGATGGCTTCAACATTCAAAAAAATCGAACATGTTATTCTGGGCCAGCACATCCGAGAATATCCCTACGGAACCAAGCATCAACATGAAGATATTTTCCAACTGTTTATCAAGCAATACATTCCTGTAATCCCTCTACATACACTTCCTAAAACCTCTGTTACTAATATTCTGGCGCATGGTAGTGGTTTCCCAAGGTAAATCAACATCATCTTCAGCACGTTAGTCAACATCTCAATAGACTAATTCCTAATTTCAGGAAACATACGAACCATTGCAAGAGCTGTGTTGCAGTTTCTCTCGCGCAATATAAGATTATATATACTTTGTACATGGTATATTGCTCTAATCAAGGAGCTGGCGGAATCTTGAATGAAGATATGCAAGAGTGATTCCCGTTCGTGATATCCTGAAAAGTTCCAAAACATACCGAATCTAATGCTATATCCATCATGCATCCACGTCTACTATCTACACTAATTATTTATCAGCCAGTAATGATGAAGCTCGGAACTAAAAATGGCGAGCTAAACCTTGCTCTTATATCGACACTCTCGAGCTGTCTATAGTGCGGCCTAGGGGCAACTTCAACTACTGTGTACCCTGAAAATTGACAACTAATAAATACCAGGAAGCACGGAGCTATAAAGTTACACAAGTTAATTTCTCACCGAAAGAAGCAAAGTTCAATCGATTATTGCTTCCTGAATGGGTCAATACTCTCGATATAAGATCTTACCTTAGATATGCTATTTACTCATACCAAGTCTAGTATGATTATTACTATGCATAACCTACCACATCTTCGACCTAGTATTCTCTACCATCTATCCTCTAAATATTCGCTAACAAAACTCCTTCCTCATCCGCATCTTCACATAACCATAAAGATAGAATTCATAAGCTCGGGTATAGGAGAAAGTGATAGCGTGACTAAAGATATGGTGATAAAAGTGACGTACTCAGATGCGGGTCGGGTCATCTACTAGTTCTTTGAAAATATGAATGGAAAGTGCACGTATGGCGGCATATTGGTTTAGATTAAGGGTCAGTTCGCCAGCGGGGTGGTTAGCTAATGAAAAATTCCACGAGAAAAGGGATGTAAAAGCAAGAAATCGGATGAGGATGTGCTGACAATAAGTATCTAAAGCCTAGATTGCAACTGCAACTGCAAGCTAGTGAATACCACGCCCGCCAAATCACAGGAAAGCTTTTTTAGACAGAATTGTGCCAAAAAGGCGTTCGTGGTTAATGTTCTAGGAGTGCTACTGCATGTGTACATGTCTAGATTATTGGCTGGGTGAGGTAGTATAGAGATGTAAGGACTCAGATTCGCGGAGAGTGAAGTATAGAGCAGAGGAAATGGAGGAAATGCAAATGTTATAGGACAGGCACTATATATACATAAACCCAGATAGAGATATGAGATCACTAGAACTTTTAAGAAAGAACTAGTCTTCAGATATATTCATAAATGCTTGAATCTTGTGAGATCTTATAATGACCAACTTGGAAGTTACACACAAAGAGCCATACCCATCTGACGTTGGACATACTGAAGACTTAAAATCTCAAAAACAAGGGGTGGAGGAAGGTCAGTATTGCCTGATCTGGTCAAGCCAAGAACTTCAAATTGATACCTTGATGACGGCTTGGTATTGTAGGAAACATGCTTCATTTGGTATTTGGTATTATACACAGGTGTATTTTAATCGCAAGGTAACCCAAGGTATTTTGGCTTTAGTACTATCCCCCAGAACTCCATGTAGACATGAAAAACCCTCGATACAATAGCATCGCGAATGCATTTGTGTATCTAATTTCTGGGTCGCTGCTCATTATGAATCCCGTGAATCCTGTGTCTTACATCATAAAATCTCAAAATGAGATATTCGTAACATTCCCGTGACCTTGAACAGCCCGGAAACGAGAAAAATTAATTATAAACCGCATATCTCATGATCATCTGTAGCTGCGGTTTCTATCATTTCCTCGCCCAGCGTTCCAGTTGTTGCCATTGCGATTATTGCTGTTGTTGGTACGTCCTCCTACAAGACTGTCGCTGTAGAGGCCTTGGGTCCTGCCGTTATTATGACTGCCACCATCCCGGTCATCCGTGTCCATTCGATCGTCAAATCCGTACGAACCATCAATAATATCCTTCCGAGAACTTCGCGAACTGTCGTGTCGTGAATCGTAAATGTCGGATCCTGAAGTACGTTCGACACGGTTAGCCTTTGGGCCAGTAGGGACGCTCAAACGAGCTGCGGCGCGTTGATTAGAGAGTTTAGGTGTTTGCGTAATAGCTCCAGACTTGTTGTAAACGTAAAGTAGGTTACCGTCCGCCTGTTATGGCCTCGTCAGTAATGTCAAAAATATATTATATCCTGTCTCCAAATACCTCTTGATTGTTGAATGTATCAATAACATTGTCAGCCCCATCCTTTGTATCAAAAATGATTTCTGCAATGACTCTTGGATAGTCAGAAATAATGCGACAGCTCAATGGAGCTCCGCCAACTGGTGTCATGGCCGTTTCGATATCTTGCACAGAAGTGCCTCGCGCGAAGTTCTCTGCCATCACAATATATGGCCCGGCAAGTCCCTTGATAGACAAACTTCCAGTAGCCGGCTTCGACTTTCCTACGATGTTATATTGAGCGTTCAAGTTTGGTGTTGATGCAGAACCATTTAAAGCATTCACAAGTCGATCGTTGCGAGTTCGCAAATTGATATTTCTTGGGCCTCGGGGAGGGATTTGAGAGGCTCGAGGAGCGCCTGGATTGTTTAAGGAATGTAAATCATGTGTCCATTCCGCATCAACGTTTCCGACAGCAGGAGTGGAATTTTGCCTAGGTGCAGGTTTGGACACAGCCGTGCCACGCTATTCATTGTTAGATGCGCGAATTTGTAGACACCTGCTGGCAATCTTCATACCTTTCCAACGCCCATTCTGCTGGCAAGTGAGGGACCAGTGCCCGGCTTGCGATTGTTCGTTGCTCCTGGCGCACTCACCCGACGATTCTTGCCCAAAAACTTATTGGCTAGAAGCTCATCCTTACGGCGCTCACGTCCTAGTGAAATGGTCAGTCATCTACAATATATCAAATATATCAAGTGCACAGATCGAGACTGTTCACCTTTATTAATGAATCCATTGAAATCGGGAAGGTCAGTTTTGGGTGCCATAGTGCTGTGCTGTGTTGCAGCTACCTATTATTAGTTCGAAGAAAGGTTAATAAAGTTGCACAAGTCCTCGTAAAACAATATTCAAAAAAGGAAGTTAATATCTTCAGAATACGTTAAAATATCTCTGAGGTTGAAGACAGGAATTAAAGTTGATGATGGGGATGGGGATGGATGGTAATTCAATCTTCAGGTCAGGTCGCGAAAGTTTAAAGGTCATCAGTAAGGTTACGCGAATAAAGGCAATGCGGAAGATGCGGCCGCGTGATATAGGGGATTTTCTTTTTGCTTCCTACCCACGTGTACCCCCCTTTCCAGGTTATTTTCCCGAAGGAGCGGGCGTATGAATTTATACAGAGAGAGAGAGATATATATATATACACATATATAGATACACACATATATACACATATAACACACATGTATATACGCCTGCTATCACTTTGCGCCGCCGAAAAGATGGAATTTCTGTACGTAGTGCAAAAAAGGCTAATGTTTATTTATGTGATATTGCAAGTTAGGTAGGTACGAATTACACACAAATAAGTCTATCTCTTTGCTCTTTCTATTCCACAGTGGTAGGCTGGTTCTCTTGGGTCTCATTTCATTTCCCTTTTGATTCCCTCCAATTGACAACCACAACTAAGCTTACAAGTTCACTTCTTTTTGGATTTTTGGTTAACAGACTATGCGTAAGTCCCGCGGAATTTCTTTTTTCGTGCATCTTTCAATCTACATACTCCATCCATCATTCTACTCATGCTCCTCATGATCCATATACTCTCATTGTTGAAGCTGTACTCTTTAATTAATGAATCATAGGCAAAACCTGAAACCGAGACAAGCAAACATGATTTCCATATCATTCCAAACCCCCGAGAAGACCAACGATGAGAACAAACCTCTTCCTCGGACTCCTCGAACGCCCAACTCACATAAAGTTCAGGATTTGGGACGAACATCTTCTCAAAAGAAAGCTCGTCAACTCTTTGATAGCTTAAGAAGCTTGAAGACACGCGGGAGATCCAGCGGTGATGTAGAAGACGAGTACGACCAGTCTTCTGGCGCTGGTAGTCCCATTCGCCGCAGAAATTCGACATGGGACCTTTTCGGAACCATTCGCTCCAAAAAATCTTGTGAATTCGGTACTCCTGAAAATGAAAGACCTCTCACCACAACCCCCTTCAGATCAGGAGTGCAAATTAGTATGTAACAATGGTCTCACCGCGTGTACTTTATCCTAATCATGTGTTCACAGATGAGGCTTCGGAACTGCTTCCAAGAAGACGAAAGAGTATTGTTAACATCCTCGGGTCTATCTCTAACAAGGTATCTCCTAGACGTGGTACAAATTTACGAGAAAACACGCATGGCGAAGAAAGCTTGCCAGAGCATTGTGAAGAGGATGTATTTGCAGAGAAATTAGCAAAAGAGTTGGTAGACTTGAACGCTGACAGCCTGAATCTTACACATACATCAGAGTCCAGTGGAAAATCAAGATTTCCAAGTAAAAGATTAAGAGGAGTATACGATCTGGAATCCAGTCATGATAAAATAATCGAAAGTAAGTTAGTTCATCAACATATTCCGTGGGTACGCCAAAGACATGTCTAACAAATCCTGAAGATTTTAAACATCAACAACTCGATGATCTCCTCAATGGTCGAGAAGGTAACGACGCAAACAGTTGTGAGCCTTTCTATCAGCAACATCCTTGAAAATTGATGTCTGACAGGTCCGCTACAGGGACAAGTCAAGCGCAGACACTTCAGGATGAAAAATTCGCAGAACAAACGGCCAGTCGAACGCCGACAATAGACGGGGACAGATCAAAAACACCAGACTCATACCTTTGCTCAATTATCAAGTCCTTTGACGATTACAATCGTGAATCAACAGTTCCCAAGGAAAAAGGAGCAGCAGTTTCGCCTTCACCATCCCCTGAAAAGCTACATCCAACCAAGCCCGTTGATTTTCTAAAGGATTTGAGCCCAGATGTTATCTATGAATGCCATTCAGGTCCAACGTAAGGGCTACTTCTGTATTAAAATTTATAGCTAACGCCGATTTACAGTAATCATTCCATGGATATAAATTCATCAATCGGTTTCAACACAGAAAAGCCCAAAACGCCGGAGAAGATATATGAACAACCAATAATCACGATTCGAAAAGTGACATCTGATTCCGATTCTGGCTTGGTTTTTGAAGATTCAATAGCTCCGTCACCACCAATGTGGCTAGACGTAGTGAAATCTGAAGATGCGATGCTGAACAGCAGAGCAAGACTCCCTTATCAATTTTCGGGAAAACATGTTCACGAACTTGACGCTGTTTCTGTAGCTGATATTGAAAAAGGAAAGAGTTACCGTCAAAACTTAGAGGCGTCTCCTTCAAACACCGATAAATCAGATCAGCAGAGAATTGCTCGCAGTATAAAGCAGACTGTAGATAAAATGACGGAAAACCTGCATCTAACATCCTTCTCGGAAGACGAGCTAGAAAACTTGGACGAGGTTCCTTTGAAGGAAGAGAGTTATCCAAGTGGACTTGAAGATAAACATGGCATGAGCTCTGATCAGAACCTGGACAATTTTCCAAATATGGTGGAGGATCTTTACAACAGTGCCATTGGGCACGCATCAGCCGGTAAGATGATACGCGAAAACATAAGCTCATTCAACAATCAGGAGTTCTTGATGGGCCCTATATGTGTCAGGTATCCTCAATCAGAGACAAAGTGGCGCCGTGCGCAACACTTTCCAACAGGAAACCTAGCCCTTTCGGACATACGAGAGCAAAACAAGGGCGAATATTCGGATACAATAACATATTGTCCAGAAGAATCGTGTGTCTATGTTCATCCATGGGGAAAGCTCCCTAAGCCTCCGACAAATCTCACTGTTCGTGTTAAATACCCTGAAACAAAGACCAGATGGGCTCGAACAAAAATTTACGACAACGGCGATCTCGCGATAGCTGACATGAACCAGGAAAACCGTGGCGAGTTCTCGGAAATCAAGTACGATGCTTTCGAACGCTGCTTCCATATTTACGCCCGGGGTGATGTCGTAGAAGCGCCGAGTTGTATGGTTCGCGTTGATTATCCAGAACCGAAGACTCAATTGACTCGAACACAGACTTACAGCAAAAAAGGTCTCATAATGGCCGATATGTGTAATCAAAGCCATGAATGGGTTCCAGAAGTTAGATACAATGCCTCGGAACACGACCTCCCGCCTTTCGGCTCGTGCAAAGCTTTAGGTCTGTCCCAAAGTTGGGACGGTGTGAATTTTCCCGAACCAGAGATCGAGGGGAATCTTCGTGTTGACTACACAGAAACAGGGAACAGATTGACCGAAACACAAATGCGCGAGAATGAGGAATTTGCCGAAACTGACATTCCGTTTTTAAACAGTGACGAAAATTCCAGATTTTCCTACAGTTCACCTGAACGAAGATCACATGTCGATGCTCAGCCTGCAGTTATTGAGCCGTTGTACAGAACACGCGAGCCTGCATGGAGGCCGACACTATCGCCACTTGGTGATCAGGATGAGAATGAGCAAGATCTTCCTGACTTTTCCGATTTAGAAAATGACTTCCAAATTGTTTCCACGGAATCACTTCGAAGCTCTTCCCCTGGTATACAATCACAGGAGGGTGCAGAGGACGTGATTGACGATGAAAATTCTGGTAGCAATGAAATGAGTCTCTGTGTCGAAGCCGGGACTCCTCAAAAGTTTAATAACGACTTTGTTGCTGAGCTGTTCATGGGAAACCACACTGATAGCTCTACGCCGGCTTTCAGAGGCTCCAAGCAAATCCTCCAGTATTTGGACAGTCTTGATAGTAAGAATTCCACCAGCAAGGACTCACATGCCAAAGATGACCTCCAGTCAAATTGCAGGACTGCAACAAAGGCCTGGGCCGAATCTGAAAATGCCAATGGAAACGCCAATTTCACTGGTCAAACTTCTCAAGACGTTCAAGATATGGTAGACAAACTTTTTAACGAAGCCACTCGCAGCATATGGCTTGATGACTCTTCTGACAATGAAAGCACATCCGAAGGGATTGAGACTTCCGAAGAAGATAGAAAGGTTACAAATCCCTTCTTCGTCGAAAGGCAATTTCCCCAATTTTCCGGCGGGCTTGGCGACGATAAAGTTCGTAGAGCTTCAGCTTCCGACCAGTTTTCAGGGAATCGAGAGGGTATTGACTCCAAAAAGGAAAATGCAAGTGAGCATATCATCCTCGACTTTGACATAGATACGCCACATGGGAGAGAGCGTTCAAATGCAATTTCTGGCAAATGCCCTTCAATGGTTGTGCCCTCAGACAAGTCGAACGAGAGTATATTCATTCTTCCTATGGAAAGTGTTGATCTATACGAGGAGAACGCAGGTTGCGGCGATCCAATATCAGCCCGATCTAGTGAAATTGACCAAAAAATAGCTGCGTTTTCTGCCGATGCTGATCTGACTGTCATGGTTCCGGAATCCACCCATACTTCGGATAATTACAAGAACGAGACTTATCCTTGTAGCATGGATTCGACCAATATAATTCTCGAAAGTGAAGCAGAGCTAAGCATTGTTAAACCAGGACTTTGGGCTGGTACTTGTACAAAGGCTGAAAATGCTCGCATTGCATCCGCATGTGGAGCATCATATGCATACGGCCAATCAGGCCCTGAAATCTTATCTGCATCAATATCCAAGCCGGAGGAAGAAATACCATTATCTGATACAAAAAACGATGGGTCGAAGGATTGCCTAGAAGAGAAGGAAAACACAATCAAGGACATCAATCTTCGTATAGAAACAGTGACGCAAGAATATATAGACCGCGAGGTTCGTCCGCTGCTAAACAAAGGAACTAATTCAAAGCGAGTCCCCACATTAGTGAACATATTCCACGCTCGAGGAATGATGTCCCCAAACTCAACTCGTCCATTCTTAAACCGATGTTCATCTCCGCTACAACCCATCACTAGTCCTAAGCGAGCAGAAACACCAACTCAATCGCCAAGAATCGTAACACCATCGGGACAAGTATATAGTCCAGCGAAGGAGGAACAGAAAACTTCGAATCCTATTCAAAGAGTTCAGACACCGGGAAATTCTCTAACTGATCTCTTTGGTGTGGATCTGAGTGGGGATGAAACGGATATTAGCGAGGAGTTTGGGGAAAAGTTGGTCAAGATGGAGGTTAGTAAGTATTGTTTGAGGGATAGTCGGGATTCATCTTTAGATGAGAGTGCTTGAGTGGTAGGGGTGAATTTGTTATATGACTGGGTGGTGCTATGGCTGAAGTATTATTTTTATTGGGTGGAGTATCGTTTGGAGGTGGTGAATAATGGCAGAGGGGAGATGGATGGGGTGCGATGGAAAAATTCATTATCATCACCGTTGGCACAACGTGTCAATACTGTTGTATTGAAAATATTCATTTCCTGGTGGAATCACATCATATTAATTAGACAGTCCAGAGAAATTGTCATCATAAGACTTGATCCGTATCGAAGATGAAATCCAATTAAAAAATTTATATTTTCTTTGCTCGCCTTTGCTCGTGTGTAGATGAATCGATCGATTATTGGATCGAATGTATGCAGTGTATGAGTGGTTTATGTATTATACATACAGGATGGCTTTATTTTTGTTAAACAAAATGGAACCTGATAAATGTACATGCAATGCAATGACACATACATCATAATGACTCTAATCAAAAACTCGCAGATGTCTCCACCTTTGGCTTTCTGTTCGCAAACGATGCAGGAGCGCCAACGTTCGACTTCCTATTTGCAAAAGGCTGAACACGACCTACATAGCCCTGGGTAGCAGCGAATGGAGCCAAGCCCCTTGCAATGGCCTTTTTGAATTGCAACTTGGAGAATTCGTCGGTGCGACGATCGATAGGTTTGTGGTTTTCTTCTTCCTGTTCTTCTTCCTCGGGTTCCAGTTTGTATCGGAAGGCTTTGGAGTATTTTTTGGATCCGTCGGGGGGTGGTTTGACGCGGGCTTCGTAGGCTACGAGTTTATTGCGGCGACTGATTATTTCTCCGTACGCGTCGCGGGGCACGAGACTCTTGTCCATGAGGATATCGTAAGCGCCTATTATGCGGCGTATGAGGAAGATGACTTCGTTTTTAAAGTCGGCGTCGCGAAAGCGATCGTAGTCGGTGGCGACGGGATTGCCATACATGGCGAGGGCACGGATGTTGAGGTAGGATGGACCTACGCGTTCGAGAGCGCGGGTGATTTGTTTGCCTTGTTCGTATTTGGTGGGTCTGTTGCCGGATGCTTTTCGGATGAGAGAAGAGGAAATGGAGAGGTCCATGTAGGTGACCAAGGTTTTGATGTCGGGGACTTCCAGATTCATTTGCATGATGTCGAGGATTTTGCCGGCCGTGGCAAAGACGTTGGGGTTGTTTTTATCGCGCTGGCAGGCGCTCATGGCGAGGCGGAAATTTTCGGGTTTCAAGAATTCTTTGGGCATTTCCAATAAAAGTTCCAAGGCCTCGCGACTCGATCGGAAGAGTCGAAGAATTCTTAGATATCTATGGTAGTTATCTTGATCAGGCACAACCCCCAGCTCTTTTGTGAAAATTTGCCAGTATTTTGTTGCAGTTTCCTTCTTAGCTAGAGTCAATAATGCCTTGAGTATCATAGATAATGTGTTTGGCCCAGGCGTAGCATAAACATGCGATCTAGGCAATAAAGCCACTGCAGTTCCAGAGCTCGAAAATATATCAAGGTCTTTCGGGCTGCTATTATGGCCATCTTGTGTTTTAGTCAACCCCTTCTCATTATCAGGTCTAGACTGCCCTTGAAGGGATGGTTCAATCTTCTGTCGTGACTTAGTACCTCGCCGAGGCATTTGACGTCGGACATTCATAGTTTGCTCAACAAGGGATAAAATATCATCAAGGTCTTCTTCCGAACCAATTAATAACGTTCGGCCCATGGCACAAACAAGCTCTTCATCGACCAATATATCACCTTTGCGCCAACGTGTGTAAATATCTCCCCACATTCGATGCGCACTATCAATCGTTTTCCGTTTCAATTTTAATGCCTCCTTTTCAGGCATGTCCCGTTGACCAAGAACTTTCAAGCGAAATGCATTTAATATAGTTGTGAAGGTGAGATTATCGGGTGCGCCGAAGCCCTCGGCAGGCATTTGCGCAGCGATTCCTAATAGGGCTTCTTCCTCGCTCGCTCTTGAGCAAAGCCGAAGTACCGCATTCATATGAATAGTATTGGGTTTGAGCCGAGAATTAGCAGAGAGCATCGAAGTGTATAATGCTAATCCTTTCTCGAAAGCTTGTTTGGTATACGGACTTTCACTGCAGCCTTTGAATATGATTGTATAGGTTTGCGCGTCTGGAAACTGTGCTCGTTTTTTCATCTACGGCCATGTGGTCAACACAATCCATACTAGCTATGGCAGATGTAACAAACCTCATTGAATGTTTTGAATGCGGGATTCAATTGACCTTTACTGAGCTGCCACTCAATCAAATGATTCCAACTAACGACGCATTCAACATTTTTACTTGCGGAACGCACATAAAGTAATGCCTTCTCGAAATCATCCTCCGAAAGAAGTTTCCGTACATAGTTGGCGAGCTGCAAGGGATCTTGTAGTTGTTTGAGCTTCCAAATAAACTTATCGTCAATTCTCGGATCGACTGGAGCTGGCTTTTTGTCCACAGGCCTCTGTCCCCTCGAATCTAGCCACTCCTGTCTTTTGGCGGTTCTACTCCTCGTTTCCTCGGAGGACTCTTCATCTTGGGAGACAGGTCGGTAGGTATAACTATCAGAATCCGTCGCATTTGATGCAAATGATCTATACAGTTGTCTTTGCGGGATTATGAGTTGTGAATGCGTAGTATGAATAGCTGAGTCTCCAATGAGTGCCTGGAGACACCTCCTCGTACAAGCTCGACATGTAAACATCTTCCAAGTCTAAATCCCAGAATCAGGAATTCCCCTCCAACCTTTCGCCATTATGATACTTTTTTTTGTGCTACGGCCTAATGATAATCCGTGACACATTAGTCATCAAAAATTAATTAACGTTCGTGTTGATAGTTTTACAGGGGTTCGCGTTCCTGCCAAATCGCGTCTGAATTTCCCCTTCCCTATTTCGCGTATCAACCCTCCACCTGACAATTTCAAACCCGATACTTGTACATACATAGGTACCTACCTACACACACATATACACATACATACGTGTGGAGAGGTTCCAATTCCTGTACTTTTCTTCAAAACATATTGCATTTCTCTTCTTTCAATGTTATAGCTAACTAAAATTCTACTTTTCAACAACTATCCAAATCATCTCGTTAATTAATTCATAATGTCGAAAGCCGCTTCTGCGCGAGCAAAGTTTGCAGAACTTCGTGCTCTTCGAGAGTCTGGGAAGAAACGTCTCGACACTTATGAAGTACATCAGGAAGAGGATTTATATGAGGAGGTCGACGAAGAAGGTTACAAGAAAGTTGTAAGGAATCGCTTAAATCAAGATGATTTCGTTATCGACGACAACGGGGAAGGTTATGCGGATGATGGCCGCGAGGACTGGGATCGAGATCATAGACAAGGCTACGGTACTGAAAGTGAAGAAGAGCTTCCTGTTAAGGGCAAGAATGGAAAGGCTGGTAGGTTCTTCGAGACTTGGATATTGAAGACGTACCTGACAGTCTCATAGCAAAGAGGAAACGTGAAGAAGAGAAAGTCAAAAAAGAGAATATGGACAAAGGTATCAGCAACTACTTCACCAAAGGTCCGGTAGCTGCTCAACAAAAACCAAAGGTAATTGCAATCTGTCTGACCTGTTCCGCATCGCTAATTGTGATAGCCCGTCAAAACGAAAGCAGATGAAGATTTCTTAGAAGGACTTTTAGGGCAGGTAGACATGAACGTTCCTCGATGGAAACCCGAAACCTCGAGAGCCAGTAGGACACAGGAGAAGAGAAGGACGAGAGCCTTATCTCCAGCATTGAACGATTCCAGACATATGTCAAAAAGAACTAAGGTAGCGGATAGTCGGCCCACTGGTATTACGAATGCACCTCCCAGCCCCCCTCCCGCTTATACGAGTGGCGATGACGATTTCATGGCAGGTTTTGACGATGATGATATGCCAATGGATGAGCCGCAGCCCTCATCTCCTGTGGCGAAGGCTGTCGAGAGAAGACTTCATATTAATGTCAAGGAAGAAGAGGATGAGGATGAAGACATGATGGAGGTTGCTCCAGCGGATGGTATCACAGCGACCAGCGTCAATATTTCCGGAACTAGGCCCCCACCCAGACTGAAAAAGGAGTTGTACCCAACTCCATTAACCTCATCTCCACCCCACGGTTCAGTCGACGAAGTTGATGCGTCATCTTGGAATGATGTTACCCAAAAATTGAACGTTATGAGCAGTAGTCAACCTTCAGAGACAATGTCATTTGGAAAACTCGACTATAACGACGCAATTGAAGAAGATGGAAGTCTTCATATGTTCTGGACTGATTACACTGAAATTAATGGCAGTTTATGTCTTTTTGGCAAAGTCAAGAACAAGAAGACAGGTAATTTTTTTAGTTGTTTTTTGAAGGTGGATAATATCCTTAGAAAGCTATTTTTCCTTCCACGGCAATATCGTAAACGCCACGGCCGGGACACAACAGATGAAGTGGACATGAAGGATGTTTACGAAGAGGTTGACGACATGATGACGAAAATGAACGTTGGAATGCACAAAATCAAACCTTGCACTAGAAAATATGCTTTCGAGCTACCTGATATACCAAAAGAGGGCGAATATCTGAAGTTGTTGTACCCTTATTCCAGTGAGTGTAAAATCTGACATCTAAATACTTAGCTAACCGCTCTAGAATCCGCATTACACGCAGACCAGCACAGCGGCTCGACTTTCTCTCATGTCTTTGGATCAAATACTCCTCTTTTTGAACAGTTTGTTCTCTGGAAAAATATCATGGGTCCATGTTGGTTAAAGATCGAAGATGCAGACTTTGGAGCTCTTAAGAATGCTTCTCACTGCAAATTAGAAGTACAGGTTTCGAAACCGAATCTCATTACTCCCATCAATGACTCCGATAACCTCGAAGCGCCACCCTTGACTTTGATGAGCATTGCTTTACGCACTGTCTTCAATGTAAAGGAAAATAAACAAGAAATTCTCGCAATTAGTGCACGCATATACCAAAATATTTCACTAAGCGACACCACTCCCCCCGAAAATTTACCTTGTCAAACTTTTACTGTCATGCGGCCGAACGGATCGCATTTCCCTATCGGATTCGAGGGGACAGTTAAACAACGTTCGATAGGCCTCGTCAAGCTGGTTAAGCAAGAGAATGAGATTTTGAGCTTCTTCCTTGCCCGCCTAGACTTAGTTGATCCAGATGTTCTCGTTGGGCACCAATTGGAAGGTGTTGATTTCAGCATCTTACTAAGTCGATTTCAGGCCAGAAAGACTCCACAGTGGTCACGTATTGGTCGTATGAGACATACCCAATGGCCTGGATCTATGGGGAAAATGGGGGGCAATTTCTTTGCAGAGCGAACGCTAATGTCAGGTCGTCTCATGTGTGACTTGGCCAATGATATGGGAAAATCGACCATGACTAAATGTACATCTTGGACTCTTACCGAGATGTGCAGCCTTTACTTGTCTGGTGCCAATCGTCGAGAAATCGATAACGAGGTTGCGTTGAAGACATGGGCTACTAACAAAGACGGATTAATGGACTATGTCAGCCATTGTGAAGCAGATACGTACTTCATCGCAGCTCTCGCCTTGAAGGTTCAAATGCTTCCTTTGACGAAAGTTCTTACTAACTTGGCTGGAAACTCTTGGGCAAGAACACTTACCGGTACTCGAGCCGAGCGCAACGAATACATTTTGTTACATGAATTCCATCGCAATAAGTACATTTGCCCTGACAAAGCCGTTTTCAAGGGTAAGCAGCAGGTCGAGGAAGAGAATGCTGATGAAGAAAGTGGAGATGTGAAGAAGAAGGATAAGTATAAGGGAGGTCTAGTCTTCGAGCCAGAGAAAGGGTTGTACGACAAATTTGTCCTTGTCATGGATTTCAATTCCTTGTACCCCAGTATTATCCAAGAATTCAACATCTGCTTCACTACAGTTGATAGGTTAAACTTGGTATGTCCTTGACCTTCCTGCGTACAGAAATATTGTACTAATTTGTATAGTCCGATGATGAGGATCGAGTTCCAGAGGTCCCAACAGATCAGGAACAAGGTATCTTGCCTAAGCTTATCGCCACACTTGTCAGTCGACGTCGACAAGTCAAGAGCCTCATGAAAGATAAACATGCGACCTCGGAGCAGTTGGCGACTTGGGATATCAAGCAATTGGCATTGAAGCTTACTGCGAACTCTATGTACGGTTGTTTGGGATACACCAAATCTAGATTTTATGCTCGACCACTTGCGGTTCTCACGACTTACAAAGGTCGTGAGATTCTTCGAAGTACCAAAGATCTGGCCGAGAGCAAATCGTTACAAGTCATCTATGGTGACACGGATTCCGTCATGATTAATGCCAACGTCGATAACATTCAGGATGCCCTTGCAGTTGGGAACGACTTCAAAAGATCCGTCAACGATCGTTATAAGTTACTGGAGATTGATATCGATAATGTGTTTAGACGCATTTTACTTCAAGCAAAGAAGAAATATGCCGCCATCAATCTTGTACAGGTTGATGGGAAATTTGTTGATAAAATGGAAGTCAAAGGTCTGGATATGAAGCGTCGTGAATACTGCAATCTGTCAAAGGAGGTCTCTTCTCAACTGTTGAACGAAATTCTGTCCGGTGATGATTCAGAGGCTGTTATCACTCGCATTCACGATTATCTTCGTGAAATTTCGACAAAAATGAGAGAAGGGAATGTTCCCGTCCAGAAGTATACAATCTACACGAAACTCGGAAAAGCTCCTAAAGACTATCCCAATGCTGATAACATGCCACAAGTTCAGGTCGCTTTGCGGGAATTGGCCAAGGGAAAACAGGTTCGAAAAGACGATGTCATAGCGTACATTGTGACAGGAGAAGGGAAAACATCTGAGAACGCTGCTAAACGCTCATTTACACCTCAAGACGTGATGAAGCGTGACTCAGATCTCAAACCAGATGTTGAATGGTATCTCTACAAACAGATTTTTCCACCCGTGGAGCGACTGTGCGCAAATATTTCTGGTACAGATACAGTACGTCTGGCTGACTGTCTCGGACTTGATGCACGCAAATATAGTATCAACAACAATAACTCATCAGGAAGCAACGAAGCAGAGATTCATCCACTCGAAAGTCAAATCGATGACTCTGTACGCTTCAAAGATTCCAGTCGTCTCACCCTCCGCTGTCGATCATGTAAAGCTACTTTCGGGTTCGAAGGATTACTCAACAGTACAGAGAATTGCTCTCCCTCCGGTATCATCTGTCGCTGTGGCAACATTCTCTCAACTCTTTCCATCATGACACAACTTGAACATCAAATCCGCCAAGAAACATGTAAATATTATGAAGGTTGGCTTGTATGCGATGATCAAGCGTGCGGTAATCGCACCAGACAAATGAGCGTTTATGGATACAGATGCTTAGGTCCTAAAGGCTTGGCTCAAGGATGTCTGGGGAAAATGAGATATGAGTACACGGAGAAAATGATGTATAATCAGCTGTTATACTTTGCTAGTTTGTTCGATGTTGACAAAGCAAAGGCTAATGCGAGGGGTACGGAGAAAGGTAAGATTTCTATTCTTGTTCTACATGAAATTTATGTGCCAGAAACTAATATGTTTATAGAAATTGTCTCAGCACTAGCAGAACATAATCGCGTCAGATTCGGCACGCTGAAAAATGTAGTAGATAAATACCTGGATAAATGTGGAAGACAATGGGTTGCGATGGATAGTCTTTTCGGGAAGCTGGGTTTCTCTGCCATATGATCTGGTTGCATGTATGGCCTGATATAAGATAGGCTTTGTTGGTATACTTAATGGAGGAATGGGTGCATGAATGTATGGGAGTTGTGTATATTCTCATGGTTTGGTACAGGATAGATGATACTGGGGGCATTGTTTGTAATAGGATTTTTTTGGTTTGTGTGCGCGCAGAACTCGGGGCGGTGGTGTGTGTATGGACTGTTTTAGATACTTCAATGAAATACACCATGAATTACGGTTATACTCTTTATTATCCTAAGCCTTACCCTATTCAACCAACAAATCATCTATATTTCTCTTGCAATTATCAAAAAATCATCTATGTAGTAATTCAAATCATTCCATTATCCGAAAATCCTAGTAGTTCCATTTGCCCCTCGTCCCAATTGGATGATTTCTTACCCAAATCTCCATGATAATAATCCTACAATATTATCTTTCTATGTGCTAAATATCCTCATTGATTAATTAGACATATCAAAGCGGAGGTATATGTATATATAAATACTTATTTCTCGTTTCTCGTTTTGGAAATGAGTAGATATCAGGAGAGATGTTGCTTTTGAAAGTGGAAGGGTGGAAGGGCTGTGAGATGGGAGATGGGAGATGGGAGATGTGAGGTTTGTATTAGGGTTGGTTTGGTTGGGTTGGGGTTGGGGTGGGGGGTTGTGTGTTGTGATTCTGGAAGAAAGGAGGAGAGGAGGAGAAAGAGGGGAGAGAAAGGGAGAGGAGAAGGAGGGGAAATTTGATGGAGTGAGGGGGGCTGATGAGGATTGACGATGGTGGTGATCATGATGGTCTAACTAATATCGACGGTAAAAGCGTGAATGATAATGCGTCTTATATTTAATTTATTGCCGAAGGTACAGAACACTTTTTTGTATATAAATTCTTACTTGAATATCTCCAGGTACCTCCTAGATTTCAAATGACTATTGATTTCCGATCAATAGCTTAAACAACCACAATGACGACGAATAAGAAAAGTTTTCGAATTTATACCGCCCGAAGATCCGAGATTTCGACTCAACAAGTCCAGCAACTTTGAGGCAGTTCGTGCTAGGGATCAGAGGATAAATTTCAAAGCATAGAATATGCTGCAATACAAGTTTAAAGTGACATTACTTCCTAAGCGATCCCAACAATCTTACTCCCTTTTCTCCTTTTTCCTATATATAAACCGTCTACATCTCATTGTAAATAGGATATCAATATATCCATCCAGATTTCTAGGTCGCTCAGGATTTTTGGATAGAATGCTCATTGCTCATTGCTCATATATTCAAATAATAAACTGATACTAAAAGTGGTAAGATCACTTCATGCTGGGATTTTCCTTCCTCGGGGAGTTTGCGAAGGAAGAGGAAGGAAGACTTATGAGTTTGTGATGGTGGTGAGAGGATGGAGGTGAGGATGGGTTTTGAGTATTGGCAGTGAGTATTCGCAATGTATGAGGTAAGAATCGGTAGTAAAAACTCTAGGAGTCACGCAGCGTTTATTTTTATATATTGATATCCTTCCGAAGATTCAGTATACATATATTTATTCTTACAATTGTAATAACAAAGCTTTACTATAACAACCCTCAGTGTTTCTTACCAGAATACTATCTTCTCGACATCATGCTGCTGCAAACCAATGAATTGAGCGCGTATGAAGAAGAAAGTTATGGGAGAGGTTTTTTCCGGTTTTTATAGTTTTTTCGGAAAATTCTGAATTCGTTTGGTTGTATATCATGATACTGTGATGGTAGAGATATAGAAGTAGTACTAGCTATATGTATATATATATATAGATACGAAGGGTACCTCATAGAGATAAATTGGTATGGAAAGGGTAGTCAGGTTCCGACAAGGACATGGTCTACTGCTCGAGGGAAAGAGAGATAAAAGACTATAGATGCAACATGCATTTAGGATCTAGAGAAGGATGTGTAGGGCTTCTAGGATGAGATGTATGAGTAATAGGCTCTTGATTTGTTGATTCATTGAGTATTACTAAATATCGACAGTAATAAACGTATAATGAGAAAAGCGCTGATTAGCAGTGGATATCCAGAAATTTCGACATGTATTCCTTCAACATGCCCCTACGAAGATGTGGTTGCACCCTTGAAGAATTTAACTTCGAGGTTCCAATTAAAGTAGCTTTTGAACGTATCAGTGTCCTGAAATCGTGTTGCGTTTAATCCATGCTAAGAAAAAGAGACGTCGTATTTATACCACGCTTTCATGATTTCCGCCCATAGCCGCCCGCAAACAGCTGCATATATTGAAGAATATTAGAGTACAGTGAAATAATGAGCTGTGGTGTATATAAAGTTAGCCATGTGTAGAGAAAAGTGTCCTTGACAAACGCAACATTGATCGCCGTATGGAAGGTATAGGAACCTTGAGGAAATAATGTGTTAGATTCATTGAGGGGCTGCGGTATAGTCTCAAATTGATATTTCACCACTAGGGTCAAGGGAGGTTTCGCCTCGGGGGAGAATTCATTGTTGTATGTGGATTTGAGAAAATGACAATAAATAGACATTGTAATAGTATCAATTATTAAACTTATGCGGTAATATGTGTTGGTGCCTAGTAAGTGATAATAAATAATGATAGAAAAGGGAGTGGTAAATATAATAATAGGGACAATAAGAGCAAAGCGACACAGTAATAGCTAACCCCGTTACTAACACCACAAATCCAGCGAGAAAATCCCATTATATTATCCCGCCCTTATATAGACAAAAAGCTTTCCAAGACTAGAGACGAGCATCTCAGCATACTCAACCATTCCCACCAAATCTTGATACGATGGCTAATCAACCGCAACATAATCCTACATAGAAGAGAAAAAGAAAAAAAGGAATACAACCAAAAACATGCTATTCTATATCCTAGAAAACTTCATATCTTGCGGATTCGCAGTGCTTTCTTACGAGTGAATAAGTTTTGAGTAGTAGGTTCTAAGAAAATCCCCGCGCAACCTATCCAAATTCCACCTCTTATATACTAACCAACCTATATATATATATGCATATGCATACAAAACTCGAATAAGTCGGAAGTAAGATCTCATATCAAAGAAGAGAGAGATATATATATATATCATAACTCCAAAACCATACAATTCCCTTGCGCAAAATAGGTGCATGAGCGGTACTCGTACCGTATAGAGAAGAGGAAGAAAGCCATGTCCTGGAATGAATATTTGTAGTTCACCCGTTTAGTAGCTAGGTAGTTGCAGAGGAAAAGAAAATCATGAGTTATATAGAATGATCTACAAGATATATTATCATTGTATACCTCTAATTGGATTTGGAGATTTATAATCTTATATGAGAGTGGGAGGAATGGTAAGGAAACGACAATAGTATATTGTATGGATAACTGTGGAATTTGATGATGATGCCGGGCTGCGGAATTGGCTTAGAAGTTGGAGATAAGACTTTGGGACACCAGGAATGAGCACTTGCACTTTTCGAAGTTCGACTTAAGCACCTGCTCCAGGTCGATCTGGTCCTGATAAATTAGTACGAGGAAGAATAATTCGTGATTAGATACGTATATGAAGTCAACGATGCGGGAGCAAAAGAAAATTAGGTGTGACAAACTCAAACCGTCAGTATGAAAAGTAAAAGGGAAGTGACGGGAGATAACAAGATGGTTTCAAAATTCCAGAAAAATACTATTGCTCCACCCCTACTATGCTATATTAAAGTGTTAACCTCATGTACCATCACCACTAATAAAATATTTCCAACCCCCTAACACCATACCATCTAAGACTCCACGCCATGCATCAAAATCCTACGACCAGCGTCAAATATTCACATTCCGACCCCCCTATACACATCCCTTACTCTTCCCCTATAATATTATCTCCCCGACCTAGGTCCACTAGGTAAACCCGGTCTCCTTCCCGCCGCAGGTCCTCCACTAGGTAAACCCACCCCCCTCCTCGGCGGTTCATACCCACCACCACCAAACTCCGCCGCATTCGAAGCCCACGGACTCGTCGCCGCCATAAACGGTTTCTCCCCACCATCCTGCGACGCAAATCTATTCTCATATCCGGAATCATAACTCGCATCACCCATTGCACTCACATTAGTATTAATAGCACTTCCCTTCGATCTCCCCATCTTCAATCTATCCCTCGCAGATAAACTTCCCGTTGCACTAGCTCCTTGAGTCGCAAAAGGACTTTGACTTCTCGCTGGACCTCCTGTTGCTCTTGCTGCGCGCAGACTCCCTGGAGGTGGCGATGGCGCATTTGTTCTTCCTGTTGCGCCGCCGAATAAACTATTTAAACCCTGTGAGCCACCTGCCGCAGGAGGTGCTTGACCATATGTAGAACCGACAGGTTGACTGTAAACTGGTTGGACGACAGGAGAAGGATGCGGACCGCGTGGATCGGGGGGGAGCCACGCTGGCAGGTTTTGTTTCTTTTCTTGTAGATAATAGGTGCGCATTACGCGACAGAGATAGGTGTCATCTTCTGTGTCGCCGTCGGCTTCGCCTTGAAATATGTTTTGTCGGATCGAGGTTACTTTGGAGGTAATGGAGTTGAAATAGGAGGAGTACATTGTGGCGTTTGTGGAGTGTGTGAGTTGGATCAGTGGTTTTTGAGAATGTTTGTGTCGCAATTGTTTGTTTTATATTCAGTGATTCACCGTCGATCAATTCTGAGGATTTGTTATTATTATTTTCAAGGGATGGCCAGCCCTTTGAATTTATGGTGGTTTGTAGGACGGTGTCGCAAATTAGTTGTGAAGTTATGAATTTATGGAGATTTAGTACTAAGGTTGAAACTTGTTACGCTCCAAGAAAGATCTGACCCCACTAACACTGCACCATGAGACTAAGGAGACCGATGAAAGAGCCACTGATGGAGCTTATTGGGAATTTAAAAATAGACCAGGAATTTATCACAACATAATTTGTAAATAGAAAATTCAACCAGTTGATTTTTTTGGCCTGATACTGGTCCATAACATAGCTTCGATATACCTAGGTAGTTGAAGAAGCTGTCCATAATACTTTAAATTAACAGCTATTTTTGAGGGTCCAACAATACCAACGCCTACCAAGAACGCCTAACCCCAGGTATAATGAAATTCCATACATTCCCAGATTAGAAAGCCAATTCTCGCTGTGGTCCTTCGAGCTCCTGCTCGTATTCGACTTCCCTCTTTGAAATTCTCTTCTTTGGCTTGACTTTGGAAACTGGTGCTCTCTTCCTCTTTGCGCCGCTAACATTCTTCTTGGTCTTATCATCCTCACTGCTATCGCTTTCACTGTCTTCGCTATCCTCATCACCGGTGGCTTCCTCATCACTTCCGAGCCAGTCCTCTATATCCTCCAAGTCCTCTTCATCTTCTCCCAAGTCACTAACATACTCCACATCGCCAACACCCTCTTCATCTTCATATTCCCCTTCTTCTTCAAATTCATCTTCTTCAATACCTTCATCCATATCCTCATCTCTTGTTCCTTCTCCTTGTCTCTCCAAGCCTTTCAAGACCTTCTTCCAGATAGATTCGCTAACATTCAGTGGTTGATCGCCATATGCACCGCTCCTCAATCTCTCGATCAATTCTCTTTCAATTGCCCTCTCTACCTTCGCAGCCGCCATAGCCTTTCTCTCTCTGGTTTCTTCCCTTCTTCTGACCTTAGGCGCCAACTTTGGAACAAGTTTTTCACCCAATCTCTCTTCCTCTTTCGCCAATCTTCTCATGCGAACGCCAACTTGTGTCAATCTTGTAAGTCTTTGTTTGCACTTATGAATGAGAAAGTTAGGCCAGTATTTCAACTTGTCGTCGATTTGTTCCAATGCGTTGGCATAATTGGAAGATAGCTTGATACGTTCCCATAGTTTCGATGGCATGTGTGCTCTCTCGATCGTCTTCATGTAAAGGTAAAGGGTACCGGTTTGAGGATTTGCACGAATGGTTGCATATCGAGAATTCGCAAGGGGACATGATTGTCGATTACAGAGACCAGTAACATTGTATTCATTGCGACAGAAAGTTTGATCTTTCGTAGTCCTGTACACCATTAGTATATGAAAATCACCCACCACGTATATAATCAAACAACTTACTTGAGTTTGAAGGAGCAGAATTGTTGATTAATAACCTGCCAGACAATTTCGTCTGACGACATATTGATTGAGGTATTGGAGATGTTGGGGTTGTTTTGTGTTTTTGAAGCTTAAAGTCTTTTCTTCACAACAGAGATATTTTCCATCAACTTTTTTTCGGGGCGAGACGAATTTTGCCAGTGAGGGCGGTGTACAGGCTTTTTCAGCCCGCTCTCATTGGTCCATGCACCGGCTTATGTTGCTCATCGGTAACGAACAGGAGAGCTCACCGGGAGCCTTCCTAAGATTTTGTCTTGCATCGAAGTTCCCCCACCCATTCGCTTCTTCGTTAATCAAACTCCACACTCCACCATTCCAAGACTTAACTTACTCTCTTCTACTTTCCACAAACGTGTCGCCGCTATCTACCACTAAAAGCCTCTAATTCACACCAACATTCTCCCTCACGTCTTCATCACGTGCAACAAACCGAAAATATGACTTCAACATATCCAACTTACATCTACAAAATCCTTCCTTCCGATGCCGAGCCATCTTCACCTCTTCCTGAAGCCCTACCGGTCTCTGATCTTGATAAGAGAGATGGGTTTGTTCACTGCTCTACGTCGAAACAACTCTTAGGGACTTTAAATGCATTCTTCTCGTATGCACTCTTCCTTTAATTTTTCGAGCATTATCTATCATGTTTCTGATAGTCTCCACTTGTTCCGTCCACTAATACTTCCCAGTCACGAATCCCACGTCTACATTCTCCGCATCAAGTATGAGAAAGTAGCTCCATACATCAAATGGGAGAATGCAGTGGGCAAGCAACCAGAGGAAGTAGGAGGATGCTGGGATACGGAGGGAAAGGCGGGCTTCTTTCCTCATATCTACAATGGCTTGAAAGTCGGGAAAGGAGAGGTTCATGATGTGGGAGAATGGAAGAGAAAAAACGAAGGGTGGTCTGGTGAAGGTTGGTGTTGGGGTGAGGTGGATCGTCCTGTTTAGTCACAGGATTGGGGAGACTAGGAGCTGAATTGATGATGAAAGGGAGATTGATAAAGTCTAAAGTGGTGGTACACCCTCCGACTGCGAATCAAATTTACAACTTAGTTTCTTGGGAGGAAACGACGCCAGATTGGGTACCAAAAATGATCCGAATGATCAAGCATTGGCTACACTGATGTTTTTAGCAATAATGGACGAAATCCAGATTATATCTAGCATTTCGAAGCTACTACTTTATTTTTATCCTTGAATTTAGTCACACCTCTTTTCGAATCATTTTTCAATCTCATAATCCACGATTTCCCAGTCTAATGCATTTTCATTTGCATGAAGTTCAGATTGGCAAAATCACATACCAGTCAACGGCCTTATCATGAGGTATCCAGCCAATAAATAATTGGTGCAATTGTTAACATGGAGCTTTTGTTTACCATCTGTCTCGTCCGCCATATAGTTCTAATCTTTGGGGGCATTGCGATTGCTATGTTATACTACGCCTCGTCACTTCCCGATTCAATTCTATGAAAGAGAATTCGGCAAGCACAGCCATTGCCCCCACCATATATATACACCAATTTCCAGGTAAACCATTCCTTAAAAGAAAAACAAGTTTTATCTTCTATCTCTATTATTCATATCTAGACTAAGCATTCTTAGTAGTTCAACCGAGATTGGCGGTATATGTTATTGGCACACCAGTTAATCCTCAAAAGTATTCTCACCAACTCATGCCGAGGCGATGTCTAGTTCAAGGACGCCTTTTATAAACAATCCAATAGATGATGATGGGCTCCACGATACACAAACCCCATCTCTGGTCCCTACCGATAGCGAAATGGATACTCTATGGTGGACTTCCTTGGACCTCTTTCTAAGCCAAGATAAGCCTCCCGTGACACTAACTCATGCCGAGGCGATGTCTACTTCAAGGACGCCTTCTATAAACAATCCAATAGATCAAGATGAGCTCCAAGATACACAGACCCAATCTCTGGCCCCTACCAATACCGAAATGGTTGATACTCTATGGTCGGACTTCTTGACCAACTTTCCAAACAGAGATGAGCCTCCCGAGACACCAACTTCATCTTCGGTACCTACTAGCGGTGTGCAAGAGAGGTGCTTTTTATGTACGATTTGCTCAATAACTTTTGATGAAAAATACAAACTGGAGTACGTTTTTCATGTTTCCTCCATTACTCAGCAAGCCCAAGAATTTTCTCCCCAAGCCTGTAGTCTCACTGTTTAATTTGTAATGAATCACCTCATTGAGCTTTGAAGAACACAAATGAGTGTAATTTTTTCATGAATTCGTACACTCACTAATTCTCCCTTTCATGATAGAAGACATATGGGCTGCCATCCCGGGGCGGTCAGATGCTCTCTCTGTCCTCGAGCTTTCCAGAATCTCCACGATATGCGATATCACCAAATTTTTACTCACGACTTAAGACGACGCCGGTGCCCTTATTGTGACAGTGCTTTCCGCAATATGGACACATTAGATATTCATCTAAACGACGTTCATGGGAGTGCACGGTCCTTTTACTGTCAGCAAAGAGGGTGTCAATCCCACAGAGACAGCCCCACTGCAAAGTCGTTTCATAGTCTCTATAATTGCAGGCGCCATATGAGGACTCTGCATAACTTTAGCTCTACTGATGATGCCTTGAGCTACCAAGGTGAGGTCGGAAGACCCCGTAGCCAGGAAGGAAATCCGACAATGGAGGGCGCTTGATATTTGAACTTATCTGGAACATTGACAATTGGTCCGTCTCGGGGAATGTCTGATGGGTATTACTATTCTTGAAGGGTAGAAGGCTGTAATATGAAGCGAAACCTGCTATCTCCAGCGGAAGTTATTTCTTAACTGTACTGTCGAAGAATTATAAGTCATAGCTCCAAGACTTTTGAACTTCTCTCTCAGCGTATCGAAAATTAAATCCTCTTTTATTCGAAAGTTGGTTTTGCGAAGCTACATATTGATTTCCATCAGAAGTGTAGTTGCCAGAATGTCTCATTCAATGACCCTCAACTAAATGATTACCAATAACCTACCAGATATCTTTTCGTGGAGGTCATCGCCACTATTAAAGTATTTTCCACAACTCTATAATATTGTCGGTGGCATAAGGAGTGTCAATGCATGAGAAAATATGGAAATATAAATGACTGGTCCGCTAATATACGTGAAGTCTTTCGTCTGGCATTAAAATATCATAACTACATTGTGTCTTATCCCACTAGTACTTGGACTGATTCTATTTTTGTACTAGTGCTAGTACGCTGTTTCCACTAATATCTACAACAAAGATTATGGTTTCAAATGAAAGAATAGGGATTCATATGACTCTACATCTCATGACACCTATGATTCTACAGGGAACTTACCCCTACTGGTTGATGATGATGATGATGATAGTGTTACGTGACGGTTGTTATCCCACTAGTGGCTCACGTGCACTAGCCCTGTATATAAAGACCTCCTTACTTAGAATCTTCTTAGTTCTTTAGTTTTAGATTCTAAGTAATTGAATTGACTCCGTTTACGACTTTTCCGTCACAGATAGTATAAGTCAAGTACTCAAAGTCAAGTGCGCATATATGCTAATATCGGTATACTAATCATGGATTTTACTATCGGTAGAACGTATATCTTCTTTTCTTCATTGAAATTTGGAAAATAACGCGTACTTAATGATTTGATAATGTATTTAAGCTATAATTAGTTAGTAGTGTGATTAGACGGAATAAGAGTGTTTTTTTTAAAGTATATAGAGTATATTTATTTTAATATATATATTATAAGAGTATTATATCTGATAAATCTAATAGAGATTCAATATATTTTATCTAGTAACTTTCAAGAGAAATTTTAAGATGATCCAATACCCATTTTTGGTTAAGTAAATCTAGAGCATATACTTTATATTACTACGAGTAACGTAACTACCACTGTAAATAGTAAGGAGGTATACTAGTAAAGCTAGATACTGCTGTTTGGCCAATTAAGTTTGGTATGAATCGTTGTCCCTTTGGACTCATAGTCTCATGATATATATTAATAAGATATAAGATAATTGAAAAGCGAAACAACATCCCAAATCCAATGATATTAGAACCGATCTAAGCGTTATTCAACCACTATCTATTATAATATGATTATATCTTCTATAATATTCATTATTCATCAAATATTACCCATCAAACCACTCACCCCATCACAGCACAGCACAGCACAACATCCCCTCAGATCTAAACCTCATCCAAAATCACCAACAACAGAAAACGAAAGACTATTCCCATACACCATCCCCCATGGACTTCCTTCATCCACAGAACAAGGCCGGCCTAATAACCTATCTCTCCAGCTCCTCTCTTATAATCTACTAGTCCATCTACAACTCTCACACACACTTTCCTATTCTTTCTTTCCCATCCCAATACATCGGATCCTCATCCAATCTGGACACACCAGATTCTTCAAAAAGAGCCACTTATACATGAACCACAGTCTCTAATCGTCCTTAAAATAATACTCTGACTATAAATAAATAAATAAAATTACTTGGATATTACATTATCATATATCAAATACACAAATACGAATAAATATAAAAAAATTAACATTCTCTATTTCATTTTCTCATTTGTCATTCTACGCTCTCTGTTCTCTATTCTCTCTACTATCATCTCTCCTCTCCTCTATCCTCCCACAAACTTTCACACCTCCCCCCCCTTCACCCCCCCGCCTCTCACACAACAAACCTCACACCTCACACCTCATAATCTCCTCCCCTCTTCCCCTCCCCAGTTCATATATACATACATACAAAATACACATACATCATCACCTTCACATCATCACCAACCAAAATCACATAACGAATAATTCATTACCTAGGTACTCAACTCAACTCAACTCAATTCAACTCAGTTCTTCAACACGAACACTCCAATCAATCAATCAATCAATCAATCAATCAACCAACCAATCAAGCTCACAACTACCATTTTCACAAATTTCTCTTTCACCATCAATCCCTCCACTCCACTCCCCTCCCAATCCTATCCTATCCCATCTCCCCTCCCCTCCAATCCGACCCATCCAACCATGCAACTCACTCCTCGCAAAGGGCAAAGACAAAGACAAAGACAAAACATCCGATCCAATCCAATCCATAAAGCAGAACCCCAACCACAGAGCCAACCAAAAGAAGAAAAGTAAAAAAGAAAATTAGGAATCTGACACAGGGAAAAGAAATGTTTGTTGCCTTTTGCATGCAAAAGAAAAGGAAGCACTACTCAAACTAAAAATCTTACAAAAGCAGGGAAAATAAAATCAATAATTACGCTCCCACTTCCCCAAGCTCCATCCGTAAACCCATTCGCTTCCTTTGTCAAAATACCAATATGAAAACGACCTATAAAACAGAAATAGTGTTGAGTCTGTCATAATGACAAAGTTTTATCTACTTCTAACCCGAATCCCCGCGAGAAGATACACAATTTTGCTGAAATAGAATAAAGGCCACCCGGGCAGAAAGTTATACAAGGAAAGGAAAGACCGTTTCAGGCGTTAGAAATCAGAGGTAAAAACTGATTGATGTAAATGTTGATGAGTAGAAGGATCAAAAGATGGTACTCTTCACTCTTGAATGTGTTCGGCCTTTGCCTGAAGTTCCGGAAGCTTTCCTCATCAAATGTTCTTCCCGCTTTAGAACCATCTCACACCAACCACCTTTACCGCCCGCACGTTCCTTTCCTACACAAGGATCAAGAACGGACATCCATGCTTCTTTATCAGCTGGTGAGTCGGCATAGAAATCAATAACTTCACCATTGTTGAATCGAATTCGGAAACCTTCTTCAACAAACATATAGCCCTCTTCATCTTCAGCAAAACCGGACTTGCGACGTTTACCTGATTTCGCGGTGGTTTCTTTCTGTGTGAGTGCTCTGCGATCATCAATCAACCTGTTGGCATTTGCAAGATTAATTGTGACACGGGGTTGTCGGGTCGACTCGTGATAAGCTGTCAGTTTACTTCCTGCTAGTCTAAAGAAACGACGACGCCAGAACTAGAAATATGTCAGTAACGCGAAAAGTATATCAGTATGAAAATAACTTACAGGACAGTCACCACCTTGTTGGCTTAGGTGACCTTCGAACTGTCTAGCAACCTCAAGTTCGGCTTCCTTCATTTCGCGGATGCAAGCATTCATACTCTTAGGCATGTCTTCATCACTAGCTCCTTTTGGCTTTGGTACAAAAAGAAGTTGTAATTGTAACTTTCCAACAGTATAAGGAGCGCGCTTTCGGACTGGTGGGGGAACGCTACGTTTGCTCATAACACTCGATGATTGGTTTGTCTCTTCAGTAGCCCATTCGTTGAAAGCGGCTACATCGACATTGTAGGGTCTTCCGAAGCAACGGCTTTCATGATCCTTGAGACAAACATAAGATCTACCAAAGCTACCATCTGCAGCAGCAAGCGGTGAAAGAAGCTCCCATGCAGTTGGCTGTGCCGAATTCTTCAATGCTTGAGCATCTTGTTGTTTTTGTTGTGCAATGCGTTGTTCCTCTTCCTTTTGTCTCATCTCAAGCTCCTTCCTCTTTTTCGGTGAGGCGAACACTCGACTGAAAGTTGAAGGTTTCGATGGCTTGGCTGCTTTAGCTGGGGAAGTTTGTACACGCTTCGGTGGTGCTGGCTTCTCAAGCTTGGCATTCAACGTCAGTTGAAACTCAAGCTCATTTGGTACAACAAGTTCAAATTCTTGTCCGATCGGCGCGTTTTTACCTAATTCCAACCATGCTGTGGTAACGCAGTGCACGCCATTATCTAAGGTCAGACTAAACCATGAACGTTCATCTGTTTTAATGTTAGCAAAGTAAGGACGGAAGGAAGGGAAAAACATACTTTTGGGTAATGGTAAATCCAAGTCCTTTACTCCAATGACTTTCACGAACAATCTTCCACGCTCACTATTTTCATCCGACACAGGGTCAGAAACTTGACCTTCTGTTAATATGCCCAATCCAGTGGCGGCATTACTTTCATGACCAGGCATCGGAGGAACTGCACCAGTAGGAGGCTTTTTACGTGGACTGGAAGGGCGGGAGCTGCTTTTACGAGAACCATTCCATGGCTCAACAACCCATGATTGTGGACGATTATCTGTTTTTGTAGGCGAGTTTTCGACTGATTTGGCAACTCGAGTCTCTCTTTCATCGCTGCTAGCAACCACTACTTTGGTGTTCTGTCTCATCAAATATCCTCGCTGTGGCAGACTTTTGTTAGCATGATCACTCATTCCTGCAGAATTATCCGGTTCGGACGCTTGTCCTGCTTTGCCGGTAAAGAAAGTCGAATGTCTAGAAGATAAATCAAATGCTACCTTTGAGGATTCGATTACTCGGTCGAAATCTGACTCTAGATTGAGACCAAGATCACCGCCGATATCGAGCGTAAGACTTCGGTTTTTGAAGCTTGTATTTCTTTTCAAAGTTCCCTTTTCCGTATCATCGTCATCATCATCCTCATCATCTTGCTCCCCGTTTAATGAAGGGCGAGTGCGGTGTCGTTGAGGGACAGCAGGTACAGCAGGACCAGCGCCACTGACTTGACGCCGAGCTTCACGCATTGCTGCAAGATCAGACGGCGTCACAGATGGTCTTGTCTTGAGTTTTGACCCACTACGAGCCTTGATAGTAGCCATTGTTTCGGGAATGCCAGGAGAGTCTGAAGGTGGAGGTGGCGTAGGAGATATCTTGGGAGGGTCAACGAACGGGTGCTGGAATGGTTGATCAATCGATGATCTAAATGGTCGATCCATTGACGACGCTCTGAAAGGGTGATCAATTGGTTCATCCACAGGATGACGTATCACGGATTCTGAATCAGATAGCTCGTCATCATCATCTTCTTGTGGTCCCCATTCCGATCCATCGTACTCTGGACGTGAAAGCATCTTCTTGAGTGGCGGCGCTTCAGGTTCCTCTTGAGGTTCCGGGGCATTCTGCTGGGGCTGTGGGGTATCTTCCTCAGTCTCGTCCTCAGTTTCTTCCTCACTCTCTTCGGGCTCATTGATGGGTGCCTGATCTACTACCTCATCGTTCGCCTCTTGCGTTTCGGATCCATGGAGAGATTCATGTGCTTCTGACATAACAGAGACCTTTCTCTCCCCCTTTTCCTCTTGAGGTGGAGGAGACGGTGTCATATAAGATCTCAAACTAAGACCAAAGTCTGTGTTGTCAGTAAGAAGCCCTGCTAACTCCGGTAGAGATATTCTTCGATTATCCTTTGTAGGGTCCATTGAAATGCTCGATGGACTAATGTTTCTTGGGGTTGGCGGACCGTCGTCTTCTGGAACGCTATTCGATTGAAACTGTGGGCTTTCATGAAGTGGCATTTCAGAAGGGGTTTCATCCGAATAATGGCTGTCAATTTCATCATCCTCTACTGTTCCAACCTCACTTTCAGTTTGATGACTCTCCATTCCTGATTCAGTACGTTGGTACATGTCTGGGATAGAATACATATCGACGTCTTCATCGTCATCGTCATCTTCAGACTCTGATTTAATCAGAACGCTGTTTTCGTCGTCCACATATTCATCTTCCTCGTCCGCAGATTCAACAAATGAATCCTCTGTGGATGGGATAGGAGTGTCAGGATCCATTGCGGCCATTTGAGCGGTGCTTGGACGTTCTGAACTTGAGCCAGGAAGAGGCGCATCCAGATTGTAATCCGACTCTCGCGTAAACGGTTCTTGTCCATTAACTTTTCTCAAAATTGATTCCCGTGAGATGCGAGGTGGTAATTGATACGAGTCCAATCCTGGGAGATCATCCATGGCATCTTCGTCCTCATGATCTTCATGTTCTTCATGTTCTTCTTTTACTTCCTTATCTTCATGAATCTTGATTGGTTGAACCTCTCGCTCGGGCGTCTGACTCTTACGTGCTCCTGCCCGACGCATACGACGTTCTCGTTGTTCGTCTCTCTCGGCAGATTTTGGTCTGCCTTCAGAGGACTTTGGCCTATCATCGTCCTGGATCATCATAAGATGTAACCTCTCCTCCAAAGTCATCTTGTTTCCGTTCATTCCTTGAAGATCTGCTTTGCTAATAGAGGCTGGAGGAGGTGGAGTAGGGAGATTTCTGGGTGAGTTTGTCGCTGCACGCTCAATGCCGGATGATGCCGAACCGCGTCGATCATTACCAGCCATACCAGGTAGCGGTGGCAGTGGTCTGTGTTCACCGTTAGAGGTTATGGAATCATTGCGTGTGGCATTAGGACGTCCAGAGGAAGAAGAAGGGCGGGCATCAGGCATAGGGCTACCCTCTGGACCATCAAATGGGTCATCATAGTACCCAGAGCCTTGGCCATAAGTGTTTCCAGGGCTAGAATGTCTCCAGTCATCCGGTCCAACTACTGGTGTCTTTTCTATGTCTTCAAGAGAAGCATCAAAGCTATCATCTTGTTCAAGACCATCGCCATGGTAGTAAAGGTCTTCTTCGTCATCCTCCTCGGAATCGTAACTATTTTCCCTGGAGCCTGTTCCGATAGATGATATATCCGGTGTAGCTAATTCGTACTCGTTGATTTGTGGAGGAGCTACATCGAAAGTAACACTCTTGGCATGTCTGTGCAAACTCCGTCCAGGGGGCAGTTTTCGCTCGTCACCTGAATCCTCCTCGCCAAAGGCATTGTGTTCCGGATCGTAAAGTGCCTTTCCAGCAAATCGACTAGTTGCCATGGATGATTTTGTAGGTGAAATTTGATCTTTGCTGGGCGATCTCGAACCATTTGCTGCTGCTGTTTTCAGGGGCTCTCTAGCAGCAGGGCTCAGCGGCGGTGGACTGGCTAACGAGAGACTGGTTTTACTATCTGTCTTCCCGTGGACATACGGTCGATTTTTCTCCGATCTAAACCCTTCCAAACCTTTTCCTCCATAAGCATTGCCTTGCATATTCTTTATTAATGGTTTTTCAATGACAGGTATCGACATCGGATCGTATTCGAGTTTTTGCTCCCTTGCGTACATGGTGCTGTTCTTCACACGCGACGCGCGCTGCAATCGTTCGATTGATGATTTTCTTGTCGGTGATATTGAAGAGTCCTTGCGTAGGTTTTCCGTGCTGATTCGATTTGGCGTACCTGGATCACGGTTCTGCCAGAAGAGATGTGGCGATGAACCCTCAGCGGAAGTGAACGGGGATGACTGGAATGGAGACGAATCCCCACTGAACGACATTTTCTACGTCGTCAGGATTAGCTTTTAATTCTCCGAAAGATGTGCTGAAAATAGACAGATTTAATTCTTTACCTTCGCGGCCTGATTATAACTTGGAGAATTTCGTCTTTGAGCTGTTGGGCCCAGTTCGGAAAGGGGTCGCGGTGTGGGATTTTTGGGTAGTGAACCAGAAAAACTGGCACCTTTTTGAATCCTCAAGGGAGGAACCTAAATCATATGTATTAGATATCATGTTGACTCGCGACGATAATCCTTTCGACGCGCTCTATAAGTAAAAAATCAGTTGTCGATTTGTGCGCTTACCGGTTGCGAAGATGAAGACATCCTTTAGACTTTCACCAACTTCCACCCCAAAATCCCCAAGTTCGGTCCTGTGGAGCAGGATAATCACCTTGCAGTAGCCAGATGTAGATTTGTGGAATGTGGGATTTTGGACAAATGATAATGTTGATAGAAATCAATCTGTAACAATCAGACGCGAGGAATGCGCGTAGTAAGTAAATAGTCGAAAAGAACGAATGTTGATGAAATAAAAAGAGAAAACGATTCCTTTTTTCCTTATTAAAGTCCCTTCCCCGAAGATTAATTGTTGTAATGTGGATTAAAAAGGAGTTCCCAAGGAGTTTCAATAAGAAAGGAGAAGATAGATGGTCGTCGTGTATGACTTGGGAGGGTAAGTCTTTTTTTTTATTTTAATCTTTTGAGGAAGAGATAATTTCCAGGAGAGCAAAGAAAGACAACAGCAGCTCGTCGAGTAGAAGAAGGAGAGAGAAGTAATTGGATGGATGGATGGATGGATGTTATTTTAGAGGAGTTGGAAGGGGGTGTATCGTATCAACAAAAAGCAGCTTGTAGGTACCGACCGATCGATCAATCGATTAATAACTTAACAAACACTTTTACTTTCAGAATTTAATGAGAAGAGAGACTTTTGAATGGGGGCTGCTGACTTGGTCGGCCGTAATAATAAACAAGAAGAGAAGAATTATGCTGAATGGGTGACTTTTTTGGGTGGATTATAACACGTCGCTCTGGCAACTGTGCTCCCTTTCTTTAATGTACGGAGGATGTACGAAGTAAGATTATGGATTATAGTAGATTACCTATGGTAGATGAATGATAATCCTAGTGAAGTTGCACGCCCCGCACTTGGAAATCACCAGAAAGGCACCATGATTGGTTCATTCGCTCTTCCATTCACACCCAAAGGTCCTAAACAAATCCAAAATTGGGATCTTTGAGACTTTTCGACTATTTTGGGTAAACTTGAATACTCGAGTATGATCCATTTATAATTGTGAAAGGAAAAAAAGGTAAATTATACAATGTGATTTATATGTTTATTGTTTGTGTACAATAAATACACTAAATACACAAATACATAAATACATCAAATATACAAAACCACTCTATGTTGTCCAATGAACCATCGGAATTCCCGTCTGAATAAGAAACATGGTATTCACGATATCTCACAATTGGCTGCTTATCGTGCATGCATGTAAACAAAAGGGAATGGTGGAATTATGGTGGAATCGTGGTGGAATCGTGGTAAGCATTTACCTTCCGCGCAGCTTCTCCACTGTCGCTGTTAGCTAAGGTATCATTCATGTATGTTGCATGTACTCTGTAAGAATATGATGCAAGTATGAGATTTCATGCATGCTCCGTACGACTCTCTTATAGGTTGTTTTGGCTATCGTATATGTCACCTACATGTCGTTCGCATCAAGTAATATCCAATTATTGATATTCAATATCCTTTGCCGTCTCTTCTCGTATCCATAGCAAAACAAGCAGGCAGGAAAGTTGGAAGCTGGAGAATTAAATACAACCTGGTGCACATAATTTTCCGAAGCTATATCCATGAATTAACACTAGAGTAGTGTGAATGGTGTGAATGGTGTGAATAGCGTGAATAAGCTCCATTTTCATCCAAAACTCTACCCCTCAATCCCTCATCCCAACTCAGCTGATGAATGACAGCTCTCCGTCGCCTAGGACCTTCCCTGCCTTTCAATTAGCAAAATCCCAATGGTTACCTTTCAATGGTTACCGAGCTCAATTTTTCAAACAATAATAGTAATAATAATATAACAACCACCACCACCAAACAACCAAACAACCAAACATCCAAACATCAACAAAGGAGATTCCCCGCTATTTGTTGACTCTGCATCTGCACTGATTTACGAACAAACTTTATCTTGCGCTCTGGGACTGTTGAATGTTTCATCAAAATAATCAGAACGTCTGCTGCATGTCGTAGCGGCTACAAAGGGGCATATTAATATCTTCCTGCGGTCAAGAATCCAAGAGCCCATTTTGGTATGGAATATCCGCAAACAGTCCGTAACTATGGTTCGGGCTCCAGATAATATCCAATTTACGGTGGAGCTCCCAGCAACCACTGTTATATATCTTGCATACAGGACCACATATCCCAAACCAACTCCCAGACCATATGAATCATGACTTTCATTATCGGGGAATCGGATGCGTCGATGTCGAATGAATCGAGTGTCGGAACGCAACACTCGTTCCCTTTTCAATCTGCAATTTTCCCTTACAACTTTCATGAGTCCAGGAGAAGGGGCCGTTGCAGAAAGACTAGCCGATGTGCCGCCTCTTCTGCGCGGTTGATCAAATATTTTAGAAACGGCATTGATGGACGATACATTTTTGCTGCGATTCTAGACCTTGGTGACTAGACGCAGAGCCAGAAATTCCCTAACCTCTTCTCGTCCACAATCCATGGGGACAACATCACAAGTACTGTAAAGGTTACCGTAGTCATCATTTGGGAAGCGCGACTGCCATTCAAATCAACATTTCTCTCATGCAAAATTAAAGGCTCACAAATATCATATCAAAAATCATGGACACGAGTATTGTACATCGAAAACCAACTTGAGCCATCAAAAATCTCGAAAAAAAAAAAAAAAAAAAGATTTAAAAATTGAAAAAGATTAAAAAAAATGAGGCGGATTGATCCAACAAAATAATAAATGAAATCTGCCCATCACAGCTCAGATATCGCTCTCTGCAGAGAACCAGAGGCCCCAAGCATTTGCTGATATTGAGAAGTATCCATAATCCAGCCTCGGGTGATGGCCGTGATCCGATGCATCAGATTGAAAAATAGATTTTCCTCCAACCCCACCCACTGTACATGCGTGCTGGGCAATTTCGGTAAGTATGGATCGGACGAAGATGATGTGAGAAACGAAGTAAGGAAGAAACGGAAACTTCTGTCCGGTACTCGAGTACACAACGTTGACCTTCTAAAAACGGAGAGCTCAGGGAAGAGTCGATCAACTCTTACCCTTTTCGTCAGGGTGTCTACCATCAGAGCTTTATGGCACAGCATGGCAATGTAAGTTATCTTGGATAACAACGGTGGGGGCGGAAATGGGTGATCTGTACCAAGATTCATCTCGTCCATTTTTGGGCGTTTAGAAGGGAGAGCTAGCTGATTTGGGACTAAGTCACTTACTATTTCTCGGGAAGGTTGCATCTGAAAGGCAGGCATTAAAATCCCCCAATACCTTCATTTTCACCCATTACTATATTAATAGATGCCTATACCCCACTCTCATCAGATGAGCTTTGGTAAAGTATATCTGCTATTCCCAGTAGCAAATCTGCCTGGGGCTGGCGAAGGTCCAGATCGATATCTCCTCGAGCCACAAAGTTGGTAAAAAGCTACTCGAACTGCCTGAATTCTTCTACCTCCTAGTCGGAAGTAGTGGAGTTCAATTGGTGAAACTACTTGGAAAGCTTTGTCGGGAAAATATTAAATGTTAATAGAATCCCGGGTTTGTTTGGGTGAGAGGGTTACAAGGGAAATTCATCCGCTCTACAAATGAGAGAGTCAATATCTCGTCAATTATGATCTTCCGGGATTCCTAACAAGCTGGATTTCATTCTAATATAGATCGGTTCTTGCACTCGTCTTTTACTCCCCATCTGTTTGAAATGTCGAATATGGTTGGCTTTCTTTTTAAAAAATGTGCATACAAATGATCAAAGTCCTCGCAGCTTGCGTATCCCGGACCTGAAACTCTGTTGGGAATGTCGAAGATCTCTTGTGTCAAAGTTGACATAGGAACGGAGAAACCAACCTTCCTCAATTGCTATTTTTGCCAGAGATTCTCCAAGTGTTTATATATTCCTAACATTTCAATGCTCCTTCGAGGCTGAGGCGCTACGCGGGATCTTTTCTGGTTCGTAGATCTCGTCGCCATGTGGGCGGGCGTCAACAGTTCAAATTGCGGGGCGATCCGACATTTCTGCTGTGGAGATGATGTTGGTGGCCTGGAACTCAGCCCGTTTTCTTCTCTCTTAAAATTCGTAAACTTGCTCCATATTTTAGCCATGCTCATGACCTTCTTGCCATTCATCCTTCGGGCCTGTGACCTATCTTGTACTACATCGATAAAAAAAAAATGCCGATTTGCAGGACTTTGTTCATTGTTTCGCTTTGGGCGATACAAGTATTGGGTCTTAAACAGCTTCCAAAAAGGAGTAAGTCCACCATTAACTAATTCTGTGTTCATAATTAAACATCAAGCAGCGGCTTCCATCTCATATAATGAAACATCGACGAGTTCGGAGCCGGCAACCATAACATCTTCCGTTGTTAGTTTGGAATGCTGCTATCTTTCATCTTTCGAAGTTGGTCAGGTTCTGTGGTATTCCAAAAGTATCGATATCATTGTAGCGACAGTCTCTACTGTCGTGTACAAGTATGACAACACCGCTATTACAGAAACCCTGACTATATCTACAAACTCTACAGCGCCAATAAGATCCATAACACGATCGTCCATCAATGGCCTTCCTACAACAATTATTGGGACTGGCCTAGGAATTTACCAAGCCGAGACAACATTCATTCATGGAACCGCTTTCACTGACCCGTACGGAACAGTGTATGAGTCGCCGACACCTGTTTGGGTCTACACAGATGTAATATATGCAACCGCGCTACCAAAGTTAAAGCAGAGCGCATATGCATGCCCTAATCCGAGTGATATCAAGAGCTCATCCGGCAAGGAAATATCTCCTTACCCATCAGGATTTTTTCTTGCCGACAATAACCCTCAATATAGCTGGAACTCACCAGGGGCTATTTCGACAACATTACCTACACAATTGCGTAATTGGATGGTTAGTTATGCTGCAGCAGACACAGAAAATACCCTGACAAATCTCGGTAATTGTGGACTAGGTGCTGGACGAGGTGTACCTACCGCCTATGTTCCCTACAATGAAGTCACAGCTACTATTACCACTACTTCCACTATGTATGGGGATTTTGGTATTGGCTTCGTTGCAAGCCTGACTAATCAATTAACTGAAATCGCATCATCTACATCAACAGCTACCACTCCAATCAAAACTATTACTCGCTCAACCGCCAGAACCTCTATCATTACAATTACAAGAATAGCCGATACTTCAAGAACATCTCAAACTTCAAGTATACAAACAATAGTTGCAACAGTAAAAGCAGCCCTCATAAACACAATCACGTCAGCAGCATCTACGACAATTTCTTCTGTTTCCCAAAGCTCGAGTACTACTGACCATGTAATTGTGGGTTCCGAATTGATTACGCAAAATGAATCGGTGATTGCGACAGGAACGGGCAGTGGTGTGAGTACAGCTATGGTAAAAGGGGGAAGTTTACCGAAAATTGTGGTGGTTATGGATTGGGCTAGTACGAGCACCTCAGGAGTGGAGGGGAGTACGCAGACGGCAACTGGCACAGCACAAGCGTTGACGGATAGTACGGTGCCGGGCGTGGTCCAGAATTCGAGTAATTCCGGAGGAACTGTAGTGAGAAAAGCTGATGTTGGGATTTTGTGGGTTGGCAGTGTGGTTTTGGCAGGATTGGTCGGGGTCTTGGGTGGGTAGTTGAGATGGGATGCAGAACGGTGTGGGAGATATTGTACATGGTAATTAGACTTCGAGGTAGTAATATTGTACATATATTTATTTATACTGAATTCTTTTGACAAGAATAAATACCAGAGATGGTATGTTATACTTCGACTACCATCCTGTTTGCATAAGATCCAATTATTGTGTTGTGTTTTGATAATCTTGCATATGAGGTGGGTCAAAAAATTATGATCTGCATCGTCATCATGGCATACCTACACAAGATTGAAAAGGGGGAAATGAGATATGCAGATATACTTGATCACATTCCTCCCTTAACACATAAGTTTTCTAGACCCCTCCAAATTATCATTGTCTCCAAAGATAAGCCCAATATTAATATTAAGTCCGTGCTGACTAAGAATAAACTCAACCAAATTTGAAGTTGCAGGCGCGTTTCACGAGATCGCGTCCGCTCCATCTCTCGGACTTTTTTTAATTTTATGCGACGGCTTTTAAGGTGATATGAATGATGTCTCCTCTAAAGTCATGGATTTTGTAAGTTTGCCCACACTCTTTCCGCTGGAACCTTGGTACTTGGTGTATCTCACTCATATCTTGATCTATGCATAAAGCAGGATTTCTAGAAGGTAGCATGTTTACTGACAACTTCTTCCTACAATAGTGGCAACGTTTGATAGCGGGCACCTCGCTAGCGCCGGCTAGCAGTAAAGTTACATTAAACAATCCAGAGAAACGTGTAGCTAGGTTTAAGAGGGAGTATAACCGTCTTTTGGTAAGTGTGCACATCTGCGGATAGTGGGGGAACGGTAGATGGGAATAGTGTGAGACGGGAGAGCTAACCGGGATATGATATAGCAACTATGGCGCGCTGCCACGAATCTGGCTCGAGATTATGAAGCAGCAGAACAAATACGAATCTGTCTTTCCGAAATCACTCGAGTGCTCAGCGATGAGTCTCGCCGTCCTTTACCACATCCTTGCATAGCTTTCGCGGCGGAAAAACAAATATACATCTCGATTGGGAAGATAGCTACAACGTCTTACAATGAGGGGGTCATTAGGGAGGCGGTATCTCTCTTCGCTGCATTGCTTGATAGTGAGGAGGAGAATTTTGTCGAGAATGATGTGTTTGCCAAGAGTCTGATGAACTTGCTGATTAAAATCACCGGATCGAATAATATCCATCTGGGCTCGGAACTGGCGGTAGAGGTGGTGGAGTTGTCATTCAATATTACGACGAAGATTAGACTTGATCCGGAGATCTTGCCGGTTTGGTTTACTTCACAACGAAGGGATGAGGATTCTGCAAAAGGATATACTGCGGATCCGCATGAGAAGTTTGCCGGGAAGACGCATAAGGAGGATTTTCAACTATTTTATCTGCTGATTGATTACATACATGAAGAAGGGAGGTGTGGGGATTTCGCAAGGACGGGTCTTCTTTACATTATTGAGGCGGCTTCGAATGATGTGGCGTTGGAGCAATGGATAGTTGAGAGTGATTTGGCTACTCTTATGGCTACGGGTCTGGGTGCGCTATACAGTCAGCTCAGTCGAAAACTTGTCATCGATCATCCCCCGGACGCATTACCTCCTGTCCTAGCACTTTCCGATTATCGACATCCTCTAACCACACATGAGATTGTGAGCTCAGTCGATGAGGACTATCAATCACACATGGAAACTTTTCTCTCACATTTGGTCTTCTGGCAGGATGTTCTGAATCATTGCAAGTCCATGGAGGTTAAACAGACACTTCTGGAGCACTTTCAGGTCATATTCCTACAACAATTACTGTATGAGCCCCTCAATCATTTTTTTTAACTACTAAGACTAATGTTCATAGTTATCCTTCATTACTCGAATCTTCAGATGTTGATGGAGGTTCTTCGGTTGCAGTTCTGACATATTTAAGACGTATTCTGGAATCTTTGGATCATCCTGATATGATTCATCTTATACTTCACTACCTCCTTGCTTTACCTGAAACTACACCAGCCCCTTCAGGATCGAAAGCATCAGTGAGCGCAGCGAGGAAACGAAAATCTTTAGATCTTGCAACCTTAGTGGCTTTACAGGTAGAAGGGGGTGCACCTGCATTATACAACCTGGTGGATCTTATTTTAGGAAGTCTTCGATCAGAGAGTTCACAGACTGTAACAGTCACTTTACAGCTTGTGTCTGTTATTTTGAAACGACATCATCGATATGCTGTAACTACACTACTTCGAACCGGTCAGGTATTAAGTGATGGACCGCAACGTTCCATTGCGGCTCATGAAAGAGAAATTGAGTGCCTACTCACAATGGCTGAAGATCTGGGTGGCGATGATAGCTTCAATGAAGTTTATGAAAATCATGTCAAAGATAGTATGAACACTTTGGAAAGTCACAATTGTTCTATAGCACTTGTTGCGCCTAAATCAACCGGCGGAACGTCGAAATTCCCAGGTTCACAAGCAACAATTCCCGGTGCCCCGAAAGATATTCGACCACATACTTTGAGACCTGAAGATCCTGTTCTTATGATTCTACTCGATATTTTATCGACATTTTTCATAAATTCCGTCGAAACAAATCTTTCATTGACAGCTGCGATTATTGATTTGGCAACATGTGGTTTTATGAGTGTGGATGGATGGCTCTTACCTGACCCTTCAAAATATGTATATGAAGAATCCGAAGAAGGAAGAACAGATGAAATTATGGATGATCTTTTTCTTGCTAATGTAGGAGATCCGGACGAGATTCTAGAGAAAGCACAGATTCGTGCTCTTAAACTAACGCAACGTCGTCTCAAATGGTCAGAAACTCCAAAACCAGAATTACTTACCCGACTCGATATGCTCGTCGATCAAGTTAACAGTTATCGTAACGAAATTCCTCGTTTCGAAGATATCCTCCAACAACGTCGAGATGCTTTCCAACAAGCGGCATCCATGTCGACTCCAGTCCGTCATCGACCCAGAAGTCAACGCGATTCATCCACCCACCGAGGATCACCTCCTCGTCAATCCGCCCTCGATAAAGTTGCCCAACGCATCTTCTCCGGTGACTTCACGCCCTCTCGGTCGGATACTGCACAAGCTCGCGGCCGTCCTTCAAATCCTGATCGTGAACAGAGAAGCACAAGTGGTAGTCATGGTTTATCTACTCCAATTAATAATACTTTGAATCCACCGTCTCAATTCCCTATGGGCGTTGAATCACCTATTAGAGGTACCTCGCAATCGAGAAGTCATGATGAGGATACGAATAGACAGTCGAGAATTCTTTTGCCCATTCAAACAGCGGCATTTTCGGCTATTGATCAGGGGATCTTGAACCGAATGGTGGGAATTCCAAAACCTTCGAAAAAAGATGTTGTGGCACCAATACCATTTCCGGATCTTAGGAAATCAAAAACTGAGGAAAGAGATACGGAGGTGTCGGAAACGACGGATGGAGCGGTGGAAAGTAAAACTCTGGTGGAGAATTTTGAGATGGAAAGTAGTGGGACTGAGGGTAGTAAGGATTCGAAGGGGAAGACGGTGGATGGGGAGGAAGTAGAGGATAAGAAGGAGGGGGATGGTGATGGAGAGGTAAAGGAGGAGGGTGGCGATGAAGAGTTAAAGGATCCTAGTGTAGAAGCAGAGGAAGTTGATGCGGAAGAAAAAGAGGATAAGAAAGTTAGCGTTAGTCATATTTTGACTAATGTTATAGTATTGCAGGAGTTTCTATTGGAGTTGGCGGCGTTGGTGCAAGTTAGAGCGGGTTTGTTTGGGGAAGTTAAGTTTGTTTAGAGGTTTTAGAGGGTTGTGTTTGTTGGGTGAATAGGCGAGGGGTAGATGATTGGATGGAGATGTTAAGGTTGAGGTTGAGCGGTTGGAGTATTTGTAAAGGGGATTGTGATGTGATGCGATGGCTTAGGTAAGAAAAAGAGAAGAAGGAAGATAGAGAGAGAGAGAAAGGGCGATGGGAGGTTTGGGGTGGCGGGGAAGGTGAAGAGAGAGAAAGAGATAGAGATAGAGATAGAAGAAAGTAGAAAGTTAGTTATTATATGATACCTTTTTAACTATGGACTACTTTTTTACTCTTGAGTATTTTGTTCGTTTGATTTTTGATGGATATAAGATTTTAAACTTCAAATTTGTTGCTTTATATAATCGTATTTGGCTGGACTTGAGCTAGTGAGAATATGAGCTGCTGTGAATGTGGGTTGGATTTAGAGTATTGAGTTTGGAGTTTAAGTTTGGGTCAAAAAGGTTGGAGTATAAAGCTTGAATTTAAAGTAGATCTTGTAGGTGGATAAATGAGTAGATGGATGAGATAATTAGAGCTTTATATAGATGGGTTGATGGGTGGATGAATAAATAAATAAGTAAATAGATATTTAAATTAAAAGTAATATTATAAGATTTAATTGAAGGTTAACTACAATATAACGGGGTTTAAAGGAATTATAGTGTAAATTTTAAGGTTTGAGGTTTGATTCGAGATATGAGGGGATACTGTAAGGAAAAAGAAGTTGGGAGAGTTGATCGAAGCGAATTCTTTGGGAGAGAAGAATGGTATGAGGTAAGAGAGAAATTGGGTGTTGGGGGAAAGAAAAAGATAGAGTGCCAGTGAAAGAGGGATAAAGAGAAGAAGTATTATGATAATTTAAAATATTTAAAATATTAAAATAAAAGAGTATAATTAAATAAATGATAAGAAAAATTGTTTTATTGGGATCTATTTGGAATGTATTATTGAATTTTTTTTTTATAGATGAGAGCTTGATGTTACGATGGTAACAACTGATTAATTAGGAGAGCTTAGGCCTTGTGCAAAAGCGATCAGATTTCATCGAATTAATATGTGATTGATTGATTGATTGATTGATTGTGTTTATCGTCATAGGCCGTAGGACCACGCGCCTTGGCGCGTGATAACCTTAGCCATCTATTCCAGTTTTGGACAAATGACGCTCAGAGGAGTATGCCTCTGAGTAGTGTACTAGCTAGCTAGGGAGGGTATTTATATACAATTAAAGGG